AGCCCCCATTACAGACACTTATCAACGGAAGCCCCCATTACAGACACCGCCCATTACAGACCTTAGGAGCCAGGATTAAATAATGGATGAATAAATAAATATATATATATAATAGTTTCGTTTGCCATCTAATGCAATGCTTATAATAAAAAAAATATATAAAATTAAGACAAAAAAAATGTGAAAAATGAAAAATACTGAACGAAAAGCAACAATGAAAACGAAAAATAAGGGCGCCTCTCAGAGACTTAAAAAATTTAGAAATTCTTGATTTTATACTTTCTATATTTCATATTAGTATAATCAAGCTGAAGGACGTACGTGAGTTCCACATTTCAGTCCTAAAGGGGCTGCGCTAACAAGCTATTTTTTATTCATACTTTCAATTAATCTCTACCAAGAATGTTCTTGTCATCAGAACAATGAAGTATATTTTTTTACAAAGCAACGTAGAAGCGCAATCAACATCGTAAAGCGCATACTTTAAGCAAAAAGACAAACTGTTGTTAACGGCAGAAAAAAAGGACGAAAATTATTTCGTTTTTTTTTGAATTCATCAGACAGATCAAACAGAGCAACATTTCGATTCGGGTAACAAAGTTTATTACTATAGTAAAACACCTATAATGTCAGAATATAAATTATGTGTTTTTGGATGTGGTGGCGTTGGTAAATCATATCTAGTAAGAAAATTTTTTATTCAACACTTACTTTCTTAAAAATCTGTTCTTGGTTTTTATTTACTACATTATGCAATTTTTTCAAGGTATTTTTATGCCAAAATATGATCCGACGATTAAAGATGTTTATAAAAAGGTATCATTTACATTGTTATATGTCTTTTGTCATATATATATATATATATATATATAATTCATTTTAGACTGTTGAAATTGATGGAAGACAATATTCATTAGAAATTCTTGCTACTACTGGAACACTAAAATATATAACAAAAAAGGGTGTGGGTCTGGGTGTAGTAAGAGAGAATAATAACACCCACACGTACACCCACACTCACACACCCACACCTACACCCACACCTACACTGAGAAATCGAATCCTACCATCTGACTAGTCCAAAAATAGACCCATCAGATTTCAGGAGACCTTTTCTCTCTTATTCTACGGAGAACTCATAGGCATGTTCGGGCCGATCATAGGGTTATCGAGGATGCTCTATTGATTGATGTATATATGTTGGGGTCTCTACCCGTCCCAACACTGAGGAATAAAAACTTGGGATCGGATTGGCCTATTTTTCGGCCGATCAGATTTCAGGGGGCGTTTTCTCTCTTATTCCATGCATAACCCATAGGCATGTTCGGCCCGATCATAGGGTTATCCAAGATGCTCTATGGATTGATGGATATATGTTGGGGTCCGTAGCTAGTGCAACAGGGCGAAATACAGTCTGGGCATTTGTCCTTAGGGATCGAAGAGTATCCCGCTATAGTTTCCCTTGAGGACCTAATGTTGCACCTTTATAGCAGCCCTTGGCGATCCAAGGGGCTGCCCTATTGTAGCCCTGGAGAACCGAAGGGTACCCTGTATGGTAGGCCTTGAGGACCTCAGGGTACCTGCACATAGTAGGTCTTGAGGATCCAAGGGTATTCCCCTATAGTAGGCCTTGAGGACCGAAGGGTACCTTCCTATAGTAGGACTTGAAAACCTACCGGTACCCACCTATAGTGGTACTTGAGGACGTAAGGGTACCCTGCAATACTAGGAGTTGAGGGCCCAAGGGTACCCTCAATAGTAGGACCATTATCCCGTTCCAGTGTAACTGGTAACTGGGAGGTACCTGTGGAACTGATAACGGGCCAGTTGTCAATTACCGGGAACGCTAACGGTAACTTCCCACCCCTAAGGAGGACTATTCCTTCTTCTTTGAGAGAAAAATGAAATTCTATAATTTCCGATGAAAACCGACGGATGCAGAACTTTCCATTTGGGCATTTGAATATAAAAAATATAAAATTTACAGTTGAGGAATGGCTATTCCTTCATTTTTGAGAAACACAATAAAATCCTAGAATTTCCTATGAAATCCAGCGGAAGGAGAACTTTCTATTTGGACATCTGTACATAAAATGTATAAAATTTATAGCTCAAGGAGGGCTATTCATCATACGTTGATACTAAAATAGAGTCCTACAATTTCCGATGAAGTTCGACGATTACAAAACTCTGTGCTTTGAAAATTACACAGAATCTTATGTAATACCTGTAATAAGGGGATGACTGTGATTAATCTCTATCAAAATGAGGTAAAATTGTATCTGAATTCTGATTAGCTATTGCCCGGCCAATCAGATGTGAGTCCGACATTTTCCGACACAGTCTGACGGAAGTATAATTTTCCACATTACACGGTTTCCGACATAATCCGGTTGTCGGGATAGCGACGGGTTCCAACTAGTGGAATATTATCGAATTTTCAGTAGGATCCGACTGTCGGATCCGCTAGTAGTTCCGTTTCACGGAACCAGTTCGGATTTTGTCGGTTGGTCTGATCCTATAAGATCCGATCGGCTCCGGTATTGGATTTGTGAACCTGGGAAGTGAAAATAGAAGATTTTAAAAATAATTCTTTTTTTTATTTTATTTCAGATCTTTTTTGATCTTGTTCGACAAATGAATCGAGCAACAGACAATCCATATATTCGTGATCGAATAGAAGCACCAACAGCAATTAGGCCCGGACCAACTATACCAGGACCAACTAGACCACCACCAACTAATCCTACTTATTCGGACACATCATCAAAATCATCTAAAAAAAAGAAAGAACATAAGGGCAATTGCATTTTACTTTGAACTCTTTTTCTTTTTTCTAAATTTTTATTTTAATTCAGAAAAATAACTTTTGTTTTTCTATAAACATTAGTGACAACGAACTAATGTTTGTATTCATTGCTCGTATTAATAATGATGATGATACACCGATCATTTACTCAATTATTTTAAAATAAACCTAAACCCATAGAGAAAAACTTATCATAGACTCAATATTCACAAATGGTAAAACTGCCTTGAAGTTAAAAGTAGTTTCCTGGATTTTTTTCTAAGGTAATCAAGTCTCATACAGAGTTTTTATAAGCAATAGAAGACGAAAAAGCATCTTTTTGCGTGTGGATGAGGGTGTGGGTGTGGATGTGAGTTCGGGTGTAGGTGTGAGTGTGAGTGTGGGTGTGAGTGTGGGTGTGGGTGTGAGTGTGGTGGGTGTGGGTGTGGGTGGGTGTGGGTGCGGGTGTGGGTGTGGGTGTGGGTGTGTGGGTGTGGGGG